TCCAATGTTCTTTGAACTCAATTTCACATTGTTCATTCATCCCTTCCTGCATTCTCCAAATATCTGAGTACCTCTTCTGTGCCAATTACTACTTTAAAATCGAAACCAGAAAACGAGCCAAAGATGGCTGACCCTCATGAAACTTACTTTGTAGTTGTGGAAAAAAGATAAAGGGCAAAGCGTTAAGCATATAAGATGAAAGAAAGCAATTAGCAATACCAAAGAACTCTTACACCAAAGGTGAAGGTGGGCGTGTTGGTGAGGTGTTGGTACAGGGCGGCCCGAGGGTCTGGTGAACTAGGGGAGAAAAATCTAAGAGACCAGGTTACTGGGCTAAGAGGAGTGTGGGGATGGAGGAGGAGGAATGGCAGAGCACGTAGGACCTCAGAATACCCGACACTGACTTGAAACATCTCACCGCAGCACCTTTGGCTTTTACTCTGAGTAAGACTGGAAGCCCGGGAGAGCGATAATTTCAGTTGTAAAGGGGTCTTTCCTTCCGTCTGCCTGCTCAGAGAAGGTCTGAAACAGCAGGGTGAGCTGGAAGGAAGCAGTTACACAGGCAGGGGATGACGGTGGCCTAGCTCACTCATGGGCTGGGGAAAAGTGGGAAAATATTACAAATTTTAAATTAATCCTAATTCTGTGGCACCAACAAGATGAATATGGAGTGTAAAAAAATAAGAGTAGGGTCTTACTACAGGGGGAGGAGGTTCTTTTTTTGTTTTCATTTATCAAATATCTTCCATAGCAGTCCATTGTTTAAACCCTAGATTGTCATTCAAGTGTCTACAGGCTAAACACATCCATGTAAGTATTATTTTGGCACATCATCACCTGCCTTGTCGGGTTACTGGCTCTGTAATAATTATCAGATTGGACTGGGGATTTATCTCAGTAGCGCTGCACCTGCCTGGCAAGTGCAAGGTCCTGAATTCGATTCCCAGTACCAAAAAAAAAATCATATTGACGAATGAGGTAAATGATAATACCAAACAAAATACTCCTTTCCAAGACCCAGTTTATATGAACATTCCCTTTACTCTCCAGCCAGAATAATTTCCTCCTCTAAATTAAATGGCTAAACCAAATTATTTCTACCTTTTAATATTTCTTCTTCCATTATTTATAATAACCCATGAGTTAATGTTTGAGTTGTATGTGCGATACATATCCTATACTGTGTAGGTTATCTCATTTTATACTAATAATATTCTTGGGAAGTTCATTTTACAGATGAGGAAACTGAGGCTTAGACAGATGAAGTTTACCAAATGCCAAAAGCTAGCAAGAGGCAGGGTGAGGGTGTAAATCTATGGTCTTCCAATGCTCTTTATCTATTTCACTTTTGATCGTTGATATCAATCCCTTGTTCATCATATAAGATTCTCTACTGCTTATATATTTTTATTTCTATCTCCTTGTTTCCAATGAATCTTACGAAATGCTGATACAAATTATTTACTGATGCAGACCTGACCTTTCTTAATAAGAAACTAACCTTTTCAGAGAAGTAAATACAGGAGGGCCTCATGTGGAAAAAGTAGGTATTGCCAGAAAAAGAATGAGCAACTGCTATTTTTCCTTCGATTCATGCCTTACATCAGTCCTTAATGTAATTGTTTTATCAAGTTTGCTCATAATTTGAAAGCTTATGAGTTCTGTTTAGGAGAAAATTTTAATTTAACATAGAAAAAAATACCCTCATTTATTTTACACATACAACATTAACAAGGGAGATTTATAAATGTCCCCTTGCAGGACACAAACACGTCAGTGTAAAAAGTTCTGCCCACACAAAGTGATCCAGGCACCGAAGATACAGAATTTAAAGAACTAAAAAGGCCTATCAACCAATGTACACAAATAAGCAACAAAACAAAGGCCTGAAAATTGGCTGAAAATGATACAGCTTAAAGAAAATCATTTTATTTGAGAATAATTTTAACAGAACAGATTTTAAAAATGTTCTATTTGACAGCAATTTCAAATGAGAATTGCACAAATAATAATAATGTAAAGAACATCCCCATATCTTTCATCTTGATGCCCCAGACTCAGGTTTTTGTCAAAATGTTCAGAAATAAGAAATATTTGTATAAAACACTGGCATGTGGAGTGTGGAGGTGGTTGGTGGTGAAAATTTGTGTGCTCTCAACCTCACGTTCATATTCATATATGTGTACATACACACATTTGTATATATATGTATATATCACAGGTACACACATGGACATATGTTACACAGCATTTCTTAACCATTTGGGGGTAAAGTTACACTTATCGTGGCCTTTTTTCTTTAAAGACAGTATTTTCTAAAAATAAGGATATTCTTTTATATAACCACAATTCAGCTAGAAGTTTCAAACTGAGTCAGTACTTTCATCTAATCTACCAACTGTATTCCAGTTTTATCAGTTCACCCAATAATGTCCTTTATAGCACTGATCCCACTGCAGTATAGGATCCAGTCAGGTATTTAGTTTTTATGTCTCTTTTAATGTGGAACATTTTATCACCACTTTTTTTTCTTAATGGCAGTGGCATTTCTCAGAATATAAACACACATACCTTGAAAATAAAACTCTCTCATATATATAGGGTTTGTTTATATTCAGGTTATATGTTTGCAGCCAGAATACCCTTTTCAGGGTTTCACATTTGGAGTCACGATCATCTTCACCGGTGACACATCAATACATAGCACCAAAGTGTTTTCTGATTTTCCTAGTGTATAATTACTATTTTCCTCCTTGTAATTAATAAGTGGTTCATAAAATTACTTTAAAGTCATGCATATATGTAGATATCCTGCGCTTCATTAAAAATTTCCTGTCAATTTAGCAGCTAAATTTCTGCCTAATTCAGTCTTTACTAAAGCAGACACAGAATGCTAATTTCAAAATCTAGCAGTCTCTGCGGTTGCCAATGAGCACTCAAGAGTCTACTATAAGTAAAAGATCTTTCTGTTAATTATCTGATCTGTTTACAAATGTTAGGGGTTCATGACTTACTGTTTTTCAATGGTTTATAATTTGTTACTGTAGTGTTTAATTATTTTGATGCCAAGTTCTTCCGTAGTTGGCCAGCAAAACCCCTGTGATATCCCCCTGTAATTTTGAGCATTTCCTCATTTTCTGGCATAAAAAGTTTTAGTTTTATAATTTTCCCAAGGAGCTTGGACTCTGTTTTAGTAGAGGGTGGTATGTGGATGCTAAGTGCTCTACAGATTTAGATCTTTTAAATCTGCAAAGTTTTCTTCAATCATATTTTTAAATATTAGTTCTGTCCAGTTGTTTAGCCTGAGTTCTTCAAGGAACTTTCTTGATTACATTTTTTGCTTTTCTGGCTGTATTCTTCAGTGCCTTTTCACTTGCACATATTTTTTTTTTTTTTTTTTTTTTTTAAGTACCAGGGATTGAACTTGGGTCCCTGCGCTTGCAAAGCAGGCACCAGAAACACTGAACTAAATCCCTGGCCCTACTTGCACATATTATTCTTTGGACACTTGGCAACTTAGTTTTCATTTCTGACATGACTTTATGTTTTCCTTTCATTTCTTTCCTAAATTTTATCAACTCTCATTTTGTATTTTCCCATTTTTTTCAATTTCCATGTTTTCTTTTCAAATTTCTGATCTGATATATTTTTTTCTTCTTAGCTTCAAATACTTACTGAGGATATCTGATTGAGTTTGGAGTGTTCTGTTCTGGTTTTCTTTTGTGCTTTGTGGTTCTATTGTTTTGGAAATTTTTCATCAGGAGGAAAGTTTTAATTCACATCATTTAATTTTTGCAATTGTTTGGTAATGATCGGGACAGAATTTTCTTTTATTCTTTTTTTTAATTTCATAAAAAGAGTTCTTAGTTCAAGAGCACCCTCTTCTGTATTGTTTCTTTTATGGAACATATGGGGTAGGGTGGCATATATTATTATGTTTTATTTCTCTGCCATTTCTGTAAGATCTCAATTTCCCCCTCCTGCTCCTTCGTTTCTAGTCTCCTTTGCCTTGTCTCCAGAGCATACTATCCATTCTCTATCTACTTTATTCTCTCCCAGAATCAGTGATTGTCTGACACTACCATTTCTGGCTGTACACACTTTCCAGTCCTTCTTGTAGCCAGTACTCAGAATCACCCAGTCTTGGCTGATGTTCAGTGTTTTGGCTTCACTGATAAACTTTCTCTTTCTAGGGCTGATTTTACTTGCATTTTATCTACTTCCTCCGTTTGTCTTTACTCTTTTTCAGAGTACTTTAAACCTCCCCTCCTCTGCTTTCTATACCCCAAGCTTCATTGGCAGGCAGACTGCAGGAATTCTGTTGGAAACATTTTTTTGCTGTATTTATATAACTTTGAAGGTTGCAGTTCGGTGGCACAGAGTCACACTGGAGTCATGGCATAAATCCTGCATGGCACTATTTGCTCTCTTTGTCAATTTTATGTTTTCTGTGAGGTCAGTGTGAAAAGAATTCAAAACCAAGCGATCATCATTGCTCTTAATTAGTATTCTCTTAAATCTTTATTCTTAGTTATATTTTATTTGGTATTTGTGCTTCTATTTCAGACTACTCAAGGTGAAAATAAAATTTAACTTTTTAAAATTAACAATTAAATGTAAATAGTACTCTGCCCTGGAGATTATTATTTTGCATGGGTTTTGTTTTTTTTTAAATAAAATAAGGTATGAATAGCTCCCCCCCAAAAAAAAGTGAAAAAGGAAAAGGAAAGGTAAAATGGAAGAAAAAAGGAGTGGGAAAGGAATGAGATTGGTCATTTTGGTCCATGGACAGCAAGTTCCAATGCAGGTTTTAACATTTCTTTGAGCCATAGAGGCAGGACTTCAGTGCAGGCAGAGCCTTTGAAAGTTTTTCAGATCCCTACTATTTTATACTGTTTCCAAGCATGAATAAATTCTAAGCATCACTGTTTTAGAATTACACCTCGTGTCATGTTCACGTACACATGCAGGACACACACATGCACAATCTGCACACTTACTTGCTTCACACTCTGGAGCTCTTCCATCAGCTGACTCCTTTGTTGCTCTGATTGATGTAACTTTTCCTATATTTAAAAAGCACTGAGTTAGTAACTTCTTATGAAAATATAAACAGGTATAACTTTTAGTCCTCTGTTTCCTATGTATTCTCTAACCATCAAATTGCTATAATCTGAAAATGTCGGTCCCAGTTACTTTTCTGGTTTTGTATGTATTATTTAAAAACAGTTATCTGTGTTATAACTGTGATATAAACACATTTTCTGCTACCCTAATTTTGTACAATCCCCGAACCTGAGATTCCAAAAAAGTCAGGATCAAACTGTGTAAATATTAACTAAGTTTTGTCCAACATTTAACATCTTCAAAGGGCTTCCAAACTAAATAGCATTATTGTTATGTATTAGAAATAAGGCCTGTCAATATGAAAGACAGCATGTGACACTGGGCGGACTACTGGTTTTCTCATTGAATGTTAGCATATTGTTTGAAGATTATCTATAAAAAGAAAGATATGGCCAGTATAACCAAATTAGGAAGTAAGAGTATGAAGGTAGATGAATATTACATATCTGCAAGTAAAGTATTATCATCTTGAACTGAAAATTAAGTCAAGTATATACCCTAAAATGTCCACTTTTGTTACATCTGCCTTTTAATAAACACATTTTATTGACCAGATCAGAAATACCAAGAGCCATTTAAAAGCCATTTCACTATAAACTTGAGCAGAGAAATTGCTTGGACATTAAGTTGAGCTCTGAAGAGTCTTGGCAACACTGCCAAGTTCATGGGGGGCAATCTGCTTCCTGGGACATTTCAGCTCACTCTTGTCTGGGAGGTGAAATGAAGGTGTGTGAAGATGAATATAACAGCAACCTAATGAATATGCTACAGGTCAGGAGCCAGGAGACCGCTGGCTCTTATGCTTTTATGGTCTAGAAGCCACCTTCACTCTGTGTGCTGTGCTCTACATTTTGCAACTGTAAATGAAAAACATACCTAGTTTCATTCACTTTGCAAAGCAGTAGCAATGCGAATGCTGTAGAAAGGCTTTAAGTTATACATAGCCTACAGAGCTTCTAAAGATAATGTCTGTAAAATAAAAATTAGTCATTGGCATAAAATTATCTTGGTTTCATATTTGTACCTCAAATTGGATTTACACCTTTTTTTTTTTGGTACTGGGGATGGAACTCGGGTCCTTCAACTTGCAAGGCAGGCAGTGGAAACACTGAGCTAAATCCCCAGCCCCTTGTACCTCAAATTGGACAGGAAGAATAGTAGTGTCACAGGATAATGAAAAATGGTGACAAATCACTTAATCTCCACACTGGATGAACTTCATTTAATAACTTGTGAGTGTGCTTCCACAAGTAGAAAACCTGCAGATACTAACAGTACCTCCCACAAAATATACATTGCTTGGCCCACTATTTTATATAGCTTTAAAACATGGTTCTTAGTCAACAGATTTTGAGGTAGAATAGTTAAAAAACTGTAGAATTTATGTTATCTGGGATTTCAGGCTTTGTCGCCTTAGGATATATGTACTTATATTTCATGAACTTTAAATGTTAACCTGATTTATTGCATGGTTCCCCAGGGCATTTTTGTTTAAATGTTACATGAGTATGGCTTTATTTTATTTATTTGTTTATTTATTTTTTTGGTACTGGGATTGAACTTGGGTCCTTGCGCTTGCAAGACAGGCCACTGAACCGCTGAGCTAAATCCCCGGCCCTGGCTTTATAATTTTAAATTAAAATTCTAATAATAGTGAAATTCAAATAAAAACTTAAAATATATAATCAAATTTCACAATGATGAAATTTAAGGAAATGTAAGACCTGACAACTCTGAAAATTCTGACGATCCACAAGATTTTTTTACATGATGATAAACCCTATAAAAATGCTATCCTAGCAAGGTAAACTAGAGAAAAGTTTCTAAGAGAAATGACTGCCAATTTATTTTTAAAATCAAAATTATATCTTCATTCTAAACCCCTGCAATACCAAAAATGTGGCAAGATAGTGATTTCAAAGTTACAATATATATAATTTCTGGAGTAGAATGCTCAAACATTTGAAAGAAATGTGAACTGGCAAAGCCTTTTAAAAGGGAATTTGGTAATATATAAAGATTTTAGTATCTATGTCCTTTAATACAGCAATTCCACTGTCAGATTTATTTTCTGTACTACTTACACAATTTCCCAAAGATGCTTCACTAAAGTGTTAAAGGTGAAATTATTTTTAATAATGAAAAACAGGAAATAGCCTAAATAGCTATCAACAAGAAACTGGCTAAATAATCTAGGACAGAACTATTTGAAGAATAGGAGATTCACAGAAGAATATAATAAACCAGCTGTGTTCAGAAATTCTCTGAAAGTATAAACAGTATATTTTTAACAATGGCTTCTTCTAGAGGTTAAAATTATAAAAACTAATATAACAAGAAAAATTTCTTTTGGTTAAAGGATTTATTTCAATAAAAGCAAAATAATTAATAAGCAAATTTCATCCATTTAACAAAATAATTCAAAAATATGTATTTCTATGGTAAATTAATGGTACCTAAACCAATTACATTGCTTTTGTAGAGGATTTGGTAAACATAATGGGCTTTGTTTGAATTAGGACCTACTTTAAACTTAATATTCTAGTAAAAACAGAGTCAAGCTCTAGAAAAAGAATGAAAATGTTACAGTATATTTGGAACATACATGTTTTGTGTTCCCTTAAATTGTACTTAACTTTAAATTACATTAGCACAACATGGTGACTCTTAGAGCATGGCCTTGCATTTAGGAAAAAATGCATTTCCCAGTGAATATGAGAGGATTTCAACCGTCACAGCTTGATTTGTGGGCTATTCATCTAATTGTGCTATCGCTGCCAAGACAAGAGGGAAAAGAAGTGTAAGAAGTAGCCAGATAAGAAGGCATGAGCAAAATCACTGTTCCCACAAATCTCATGTAGATATTCTGAAGTAGAAATAAAAAGTATATGGAGTAAAAAGGTAACTCTCTAAAGGCCAATTAAAGTATATGATTCTATTTGATGTTACTATTCATTGAAAACTGATTTAAGCCTCAATATTCCTGTTCAGAACCTAGCAGGGGTGCTTTACTTTTTCTTTTTTTTTTCCCTAAAGAAAATATAAACTGGAAGTTACCTTAAGTATATTCACTTCTTCCAAAGCATCATTTCTTTCACGCTTAAGTTTCTCTGCTTCTAAAGAATCACAGGGAAGAAGCTGTCAACATTGAAATATAAAAGTTATGCATTAGATGCTAATTATGAGAATATATAAATATTTTCTGACTAGTCTGAGGGTGCTGTATTCTAATAAGAAAATTCATTTTCTTATTTTGGAGTTGTTTGGTTACATCAAAGAGAACATTAAAATAATCTGAGGCATTTTTATTCATTTAGCTTAAACTTACATGGGTGATAATTATCATAGAATTCTGATGACTAAAAAGTATATATTATTCTGTCAATTTTATGATTCTTATTTTAACAATGTAATTTTACTTAAAGTCTAAATTTCATGACTTTATTTATAATGTCAAATAGACTTTGGGAGTTATCAGTATGAACCATTCCCTAAACACATTCATTCTAAGAGCTAATGCATGGTGCATCTTGTCAATTAAGCTGCTTTATATGATTGCAGAAAAGCATATTTACTAATGTATCTGGTTTTAACTAAATAAGGTAACACAAATAACCAAGTGGATTGAAAATATTCTTGTACAGAAACTATGAATGGAAGATAGTATTAATGATTAATTCACAAGTGAGTAATAACAATAAAATAGCAGAAACTACAATTTCTCTTGCATCTAGCATGATCTCTTTGACAGTCAAGTGCAAGATTAAAAACAATAAAATCTCATCAGAGGTAAAATCATAGTATAATTAAAGCCGTTTCCTATGCAGAAACTATAACTTCAAATAGTATAGAAATAAAAGGATTAAGAGGAGAAAGAGATTGCTATGCATAGGTTTAAAGAAAGCCCTTTTAACTAGGAGAAGCAAATGCTGAAGAAGAGAGAGCAATCAAATTATTGATAATATTAACCATTTATTGTAAACTTACTATGTGCAAATACTTTGGTATTTGTGTGTGTGTGTGTGTGTGTGTGTTTTTTTTTATATATATATATATATATATATATATACAAAACCTTGTTGCCATTTTATAGACAAGGAAGCAAGTCTAAGGTTCCACAGCCAATAAATGACCATTGCATGATTCCCACTGAAGTCTGACACCACAGTGTGTGAATTTCACGATCCAATAAAAAATCACAGGGGAATAGATATGCCAAATTTACATTTGCATGATAAACAAAAGAATAACAGAAGTAGTTTTTCCCCTAAATGTAACTGATTCTTTTTAACCTTCCACATTCACATTTGGGTATCTGTGGCCACTGTCCGTAACTGATGTTATTTCATATTCTTCACCTATCTCTATTATTGTACTTTCTCCGGAGTACTCAATACATGCACTCAGAATCCTTTACTTATTCCCATACTGTTTTAGATTAGTTTTAACACATTTTCAAGTGTAGCACTATTTCCAAAGTGTGTTCCAAAGGATATAAACTAATACTATCTAAAAGTAAAATTGGGAGGCAGTGCTATAGAAAAAGAAAAAAAACTTTCTGTCTTTTATGGCTTCCAGTAGTCCTGGTATTCTAATTAGTATATTAATTTACCAAAAAGAGGTATAATTTATTATCTTGTCACATTTCGTTAGTAATTTGACCATACTACAGCTTGTGTACCTCTAATCCTGTGGCCTTTTATTTGCTTTATATTATCTTATTTTTCTCTAACTATTAACTTATTTTTCTCTGTTTTTTCTCTGTCTGCCCAGCACAGTCTAGGAAACAGGTACTCAAGATTCCTATGGGCCTATTTCTTATCGTAACAAGTGAAATAAGACGACCCAAAACTTTAAACAAAATTTTGGATAATAAATCTATGACACTTTATTAAGAGAAATTATGGGTTGATATTTTAGGGTTAAGATTATGAACTTTGGAGTTCCACATCATGGAAGCAAATCACACATAAAAGAATCCATTTGGGGAGTCAAAATACTAGCTGGAATAGTCCCAGGACAAAACACGACTTAAAGGAAGGTTTTACAATCGTATTGCTATTTTGGAATACTCAGCGAAAAACCACAGCCAGAGACCTGATACTAAGTATTCCTTTTTAATTATTTGAAAAGTCCCTTGATGCTCACTGACATTTTATAAATTTCTATTCAAATACATTTTCACTAAGCAAGCAGCAAATGAAAAGACTTACTGCTGCTTGGCAGCCTCGTTTTCAAGTTCATCTCCAAGTGCTGAACTCCGAGACATGCTGAAGGTTGCTAGACTTGTTGACCAGATTTGACCTTGCCTCTCCTTCACTGTCTCTCTAACATCATAATCCTAGTTATTTTCAATGTATGTTCATTCTGGCCAGCTACTGTCTTACCATCTACATTCCCCAACTTCAATTCATCTTAAATAGGGTAAAACAATAACCTCTAGTTCAGTCTAATTTATGGATGAGTCTTTCCATTAGGAAACTCTTCGATTATACCCTTTTCTTATGAAAATATGTGTTACTGCATCATTCTATTTATGTGAACATTTCTGTATATCTTTTTTTCTCTTTCCGTCTCCCTGCTCACTCCTTTAAACCTTTCCTCCAACCCTATATTTCTAAAATGATTACTTGCAATGTTATCTATAAAGCTGCTGACAGTGTAAATGGGTCCAGCAACTTTCCCAACCTCTTGGCTACATATAATGTTGCTCAAGTGTTTCTGTTTTTTCTTTAGTTCTCTATGTCTCATTCTCTGAACACTCTAGACTGTTTCCAATGACCTGTTTTCACTCTTAGGTCTAACCAAGAGGAGGGGATAGGAGATTCCCTAAGGTTCGTTTCTACCCCTCTTTTGCAAAGTTCACTGTCATGCGTCCACTATCGCTTCCCTAATATTCCCAGATCCCCCTCTTGGCGTGCGGTTCCTTATTTCCAAAGTCCTTTGGTTATTTAGAACTGTCATGCCTTCAATTTACTCCTTGTAAAGTACAACCTGCCATCTTCCCCATTGGTTCTCACATCCCTAGCGTCAGCAAGTCCTACTATGCTGTTTTTCTGTTTTCAGTAAATAGCCTAGATCTGTCCTTCCTTTCCATTCTTTCAAGCTTCGGTATAGTCTACTTCTTAATTATTTTGTTTGGATTCTCTCCATAGTCCCTAAACTGGACTACCACCATCAATTTCATTCCATTCCTCCATAACTAACACATTCAATTACTTGTTCTAAACCATCCCTTTGATTGACATCATTCTCCATCACGGGTCCTCACCACTGTATAAAGCATAAACTTTTACATTTAATATTTACCCTTTGACGGTAATGTTTGTTACCCCACAGCACGCTGTTATTGTCCAGTATACATTGGTGTTTTATAGATGAGTCTTTGGGGGAAGAAGCTATACAGTGTCTACTGTTACATCCAGTGACAAACACCATTTATGTCATGACCCCCAGTAAGTGAAACATCTAACCTGATTACATACAATTCACTTTGATACCTGTTTGGTGCAGGGGCTTGCACCCAGGGCCTCGTGCATCTAGGCAAGCATTCTACCACTGAACTACATCCCTAGTCTCACTTTGATGTTTTCCTTCTATTCTGTTTCACTTGTTGAAATGGTGGTTACAATGCACCAACTTGATTGAACAAGATCCCAGATTGGGAAAAGTCTACTTCAGAAAATCTACAGTGCTCTAGCTGTGATGTGGCGATAACCCATTCACAATACTTGCTTAGTCTGATAAAACCTTCACATTACGACAGACTACAAGCTGCTGTGGCTGAATTCAACGTACTGCTGAATGTGGGCTCCGACCTTGCCTTTTCTGGGCATAGCCTTGTGCCAGCAGCAGGTGTAGCACAGTGGGGAATTTTTTAATATAGCAATCACGATTAGAATCACAGCAAGACCATTATATTTTTGGTTCTAAATGGCATATTCTTCTATACTGAAGAGCTTGTCAAATAAAGCAAAGTTGGACTAACTGGTACTGACTTGGCAATTCCTCCTTAAAAGGTATCATATCTCGAGAAATTGTATGAATGAGACAAAAGAGCCAAAGAAGGTAGTTACAGAATATCATGTACTCAATGGTTCCATTTATTATGAGGTCCAAGAACCACCAGCAAAGGCAACCTATGCTGTTTTAGCGCTCAAAACAGTGATTCCAGCGTGAAGGTGGGAGTGAATGGCAGCTGACTGGGAAGCCAGCAAGATGGAGACTTTTGTATGGTGGGTGATTCCACCTGGGACATAAAACAAATTATCAAATTGTACACTTATGATTTCTGTACTTACTAATTGTGCATTATATTTCAGTAAGTTTTAAAAATAAATTAAATAAGAAAATGACAAGCTATCCGTCTCAGCCAAGAAAAAGAAAATAAATGAGTAGAAGGCAAAATGATTATAAATTTGACTCTGCTGTCAGTGTAACTGAGAGGGCTGGGGGTTGGCCAGAGTGGAATTTCCCCACCCTTGCAAACTGTCAGCATCCTCAACCACAGATCAATTGATACATTTCAGAGAAGGCACTACATTGGTTGTTAGCTAAAAAGTTGAAATTACACTAAAAAATAATAAGTTAGTTTTAATTTGTTTTTGGTAACCCACTTGACAAGCAGCACTTTTTACATTTTTCTCAAACTGGATATATCATCCAGTAAACGATAGATTTGTGAGATCAAAGTTCTACTGAAGCAGAACTGAATATTATTAAATAAGAATGCCATGCATGTAGAAAAAGTAAAAGGTGCTGTCAAAGACTTTTCTTTTAGTTATAAATGTGTGGTTGAAAAACAACTCATTATGATTCAAACAAACAAAACAAAACATCCCACAAAGATGAAAAATAAGGAAAGCCAGTACTTGACGATATTTTCTATGTTGTGACAACCGGAACACAACAAAAAATTTTATAAATTAGTGTGATAATGCACAACATTATGATCTGAAGCCACAACAGGAAATTATTGGCAATTACCATCAGCACTGCACTTTTGCTATCAAAGCATCACCGACTGAATATGTTCTTATCTGCCCTAAAATCATGTTGTTAAGAAGGAAGTAAATTACCAATTCAGAGCATGAGTATCTCTTTGCAGCTGCTGAAAAAGCTTTTCATGCTCATACAAC